GGCAGCGTGGTGGGCAGAAACCTCAACCGCTTCTCCTGCTTCGTCCGCTCCGGGGTGGAAGCCTTCATCCTGGGCGACGTGCCCCTGATGTCCAAGATCGCCGAGACCTACTGCATCGAGATGGGCTCCAGAGGCCCGCAGTGGAGGGCCAACCCCCACCCGTTCATCTGCTCCGTGGAGGACCCCACCAAGCAAACCAAGTTCAAGGGCATCAAGAGCTACATCTCCTACAAGCTGACGCCCAGCAACTTCAACTCTCCCGTGTACCGGCGCTACAAGCACTTCGACTGGCTCTACAACCGCCTGCTGCACAAGTTCACGGTGATCTCGGTGCCGCACCTGCCCGAGAAGCAGGCCACCGGCCGCTTCGAGGAGGACTTCATCGAGAAGCGCAAGCGGCGGCTGATCCTCTGGATGGAGCACATGACCAGCCACCCCGTCCTCTCCCAGTACGAGGGCTTCCAGCACTTCCTCTGCTGCCGCGATGAGAAGCAGTGGAAGCTGGGCAAACGCCGGGCGGAGAAGGACGAGATGGTGGGCGCCAGCTTCCTCCTCACCATCCAGATTCCCACCGAGCACCAGGACCTGCAGGATGTGGAGGACCGCGTGGACGCCTTCAAGGCCTTCAGCAAGAAGATGGATGACAGCGTCCTGCAGCTGACCAACGTGGCGTCGGAGCTGGTGCGCAAGCACGTGGGGGGCTTCCGGAAGGAGTTCCAGAAGCTGGGAAATGCCTTCCAGGCCATCAGCCACTCCTTCCACATGGACCCTCCCTACAGCTTGGATGCCCTCAACAATGCCATCTCCCACACGGGCAAGACATACGAGACTGTGGGGGAGATGTTTGCTGAGCAGCCCAAGAACGACCTGTTCCTCATGCTGGACACTCTCTCCTTGTACCAAGGGCTCCTCTCCAACTTCCCGGACATCATCCACCTGCAGAAAGGTAAGGGGGCATTCTTCTCCCCAGGAATGGCCCCTTGTGAGTGGGAATGGTGCTGCAAGTGGGATGGGGATGCAATGAGGAAATCCTTTGTTGGGCCTTGAAGGGAATGGGGAATAAGGATGGGAATGGGGATGGGAACCACTGCCTATGCCTCTTAGGGGCGCGGTGTGGTCCCTGCTGGCACAGCCCTCCAGTCAGCCCAGCCTGGCAGAGTCTGCTAGGGCTGTTGGGTCCAGAGTCTGCCCCAGTGATCCCGTGGACTCTGTAACTGCTGCTGGTGCTACCCAAAGGACTGCCAGGGGTCATCAGCATGGATGTCACTTCCCCCAGACCGTGAGCAGGAGCCAGCACTGCTGCTGTTATGTCTGAGGTGACCTGCCCTGCACCTCTTGTGCATCCCCACCCACTGCTACTTGTCCCTCCTCATCCTCCCTTCCTGCCAAGGCAGAGAATGGGTGGCCAGCAGGAATACCAGAGCTTGCTCCCCCAGGGCTGGGATATGGCTGGACATGGCCTTGGCTTGGTCAGAGTGCCCGAGGGGACAGGGCAGTGGGATAGGGGACACACCGAACCTCTGGGAACAACCTGGGTTGTACTTTTCAGGAGTATATCCCTGCACCTCCAAGCCCAGCAGGAGGGATGCACCCCCAGGGCATCAGTGGTCCCCCATGTCCTGTTTGTCCTGGTTCCCTGGATTTGGTGGGATCAGAGGGAGGGAGGAGTGTCAGCTGTTCTCTCCCTGGGGCAGGCAGCAGGCAGGCAGGGCTCGGTGTCCCTTTGCACCCAGGCAGCCAGCACTGTGGGTGTGGGGCCAAAGTCCACACACACTCCTCCCCGCCCAGCTGCCCGCAGCAGGGAGGGGACACCCACACCAGTGTCCCCAGAGTGTGCAGGACAGGTTTTCCCCAGGGTGAAGCCAGGGCTGATGGGTCCAACATGCAGGGATGTCTGTGCATCACTCGGCATCCCTGGGGGAGGCTGCGAAGGCAAAGGGTGCAGGGAGGATTCAGTCCTGCCCGGGCAGCTTCCCTGCCTTTCCTCTGAGTGTTGTTTACCCATGGAGAGGGGCTGGATCCCGTCCGGAAGCGAGGCCGCGTGGGCAGAGCGGAAGGCAGGATTTGGCCTCCAAACTTTGCTTCTTCCTCCTCCTCCTCCTCCTCCCCTCTGGGAGCAGGGCTGGCGCAGCGGGAGCGCTGTAACCCCGGGTCTGGTGCGCCCGGCAAGGGGCAGGGAGAAGGGAAGAGAGCCCAGAGCGGGCCAGATCCTGTTTTTAGTTTTTTAGCCTCTGTGCTAATGAGGGGGAGGAATGCAGGGCTGGAGCCAGGCAGGATTCTTTCGAAACCGAGCTGTAAAAAAGCATGGAAGGAGAGGGAAAAACTGGTGTCAGAGCATCAGCTGCCTCTGGGAGTGGGAGATGCTTTCCCAGCTGAGCTCCAGACAGCACCACGTGCCCTTGCCTCATCCTGGTTCACTGTTTCCTTGGGCTGGGGTCTCCCAGGGCTGCTCCTGACCCCTGTTCATGGAATGGCATGGAATATTTGGAGAGCAGGCTTGGCTGGGGTGCTTCACTGTGCTAACACTGCCCCACGTCAGCTTTGCACCCCAAGCCTTGAGTCACAGCACTCAGGAGCCCAGAGCCCCAAAACCAGCTATACATGAGGCTGACTGCCCAGGATGGAAAAGGAGCTGGGGATGCCACAGTCAAGAGGGAAAAAGAGGGAAAATGCTCCTGGTCTTTGCCTGCCAGGAGGAGAGGGAAGGGTTTGATGGGCAGGGGGAGATGCAGGCAGCTCCCTCCCTGCCATGGGGCAGGTCTGTGCCTCTCCTTTGGGGCCAGGGCTCTCCATGGGCTCCAGCAGGGCTG